AAAAAAAAAATTACCCAGGCATGGTGGTGGCATGTGCCTGCAGTCCCAGCTACTCAGAGGCTGAGGTAGGAGAATCACTTGAGCCCGGGAGGTGGAGGTTGCAGTGAGCCGAGATGGCACCACAGCACTCCAGCCTGGGCAACACAGTAAGAATCTGCTTAAAAAAAAAAAAGTTCCTTGCCATACCTAATCCCTCAGTTTTGTAATTCTCTTTGTCCAGGTCTCTCAATCTGCACTGGCTTTTTTGCACCACGTAACTCTCACTCATTCAATAGGTAATTCTTTCTTTGGTTCCCCACGTTTGTGTTTTTGTAAATAGGTAATCCTTAAGCACTGACTATGTGCCTGGAAATGCTATAGTTGATGGGGATTTGGCAGTAAACGAGACAAAAAAAGTGCCAGGCGCGGTGGCTCACACCTGTAATCCCAGCACTTTGGGAGGCCAAGGCAGGCGGATCACTTGCGAACAGGAGTTCGAGACCAGCCTGGCCAACGCAGCAAAACCTCGTTTCTACTAAATATACAGAAAGAAGTTAGCTAGGCATGGTCCAGCTAGTCTAAGGCAAGAGAATCGCTAAGAACCAGAGGCGACAAAGGTTGCAGTAAGCCGAGATCACACCACGGCACTCCACCCTCAGTGAGACTGTCTCAAAAAACACAAACAAAAAGACAAAAAAGGTGTCTACCCTCATGGAGTTCATATGCTAATGGAATAAGGAGATCGTATGATCACATCAGATGATGACAGACATAGAAAGGGATGACTTTATAAGAGGTTAGGAGAGACCTCATAAGATGCTGACATTTAATGAAGAGCAGAAGATTGTCACAGCCATGGGGAAACACACCTGGCAACACCAGACAGAAGGTGCTGTAAGTTACCATGGACGCAATAGGGGACACCCCACGACCCTGTAGGGCTGGTCCCTACACACTACAGTGGGACCAATGACTGCTGTGGGGTCGGGTAAGTGAACGAAGGCCAAATAACAGCGGGGCCTCCCAAAGGGCAGCCAGAGGGAACCCACCCCAGTGCACTGCGTGAGTTCCCAAGAGTACTCGCTTACCCTAGGCGGTGGGGGTGGGGCGGGGCACGAATGTGACTGAGGGTAAGAGTGCAGCAAAGCAATGGTACATAAGCAATGAAGAGAGCATGACTGAAAGAGGGCAGCACAGAACCAGTGCCAGTCAGCACCCCACCAGCCAGGGTACGCGTGCAGAGCCCTGCCAGCGGCTCCACCCTTAGGAAATCGTTGGTTAAGGGCTCATCTTAGCAGCAGCCCAGAGCAGGGACTCAAAGGAGCTGGGAAACTTTATTAGGCTTTGCGATGGTGGAAGTCCCATCTCGGAACTCTCATTCTTTATAAGCATGCTTGCCTCAACAAGCCTCCATTTCTTCATCTTGAAAATGGGAGAAACAACCCCTGTTGTGCTTGGAAGCCATGAGAAGTCAGTAACAGGAAGGACGAGTGCTCAGCAAGGAGCACGGTGCCCTTGACGGGAGCTGGTCATTGGGACGACGCACAGCAAGCTTCTACAGTTAGAAGTGGAGGCTCTCAAGGGCACAGAAACCCACTGAACTTGACCCATTCTTTCTCTTCTATTACGGAGAAGTTCAAGCACTTAACAGAAGTGGAGAGCAGTACAACAAACTCCCACGAGCCGCTTCCATCATCAACGTGCGGCCAAACTTGTTTCATCTCCACCCTCCCCCAGCCCACTGGACCTGTGTTTTTTGAGATGGAGTTTCACCCTTGTTGCACAGGGTGGAGTGCAATGGCACGACCTCAGCTCGCTACAACCTCCGCCTCCCAGGTTCGAGAGATTCTCCTGCCTCAGCCTCCTGAGTAACTGGGATTACAGGTGCGCACCACCACACCCAGCTAATTTTTCATTTTTATATAGACAGAGTTTCGCCAGGCTGGCCAGGCTGATCTCAAACTCCTGACCTCATGATCCACCCGCCTCAGTCTCCCAAAGTACGGGATTATAGGCGTGAGCCACCATGCCCAGCAAAATATAGTCTAATCACGTGGGCTCACCATCACATCTGTGGTCCCCTGCTGACTGAAAATCACTATGCTGCGTGAGTTTTCACTCTCACAATAAAGAGCCACTGGAGGTTGACAGCTGACCTTCTTATCAGTTTGGTTAACGGCGACAACACACCTGTCTTGTACTCCCAATTCCTCTGATACATGGAGGGGATCAACATCCTCAGCCCAAGGGTCAGGGAGCTAAGGGTAGAGCCGGGACGGACCCACTAGCCCACAACTCACTGCCTTAGCCTGAGACCCAGCTGGGTTGTGGGAGCCCCTTATAACTGTCCTCCCCTGCAGGAAGGGCCCAAGGTACCAGGGGTCTCCCTTCCCGCCAACTTTTACCCTATGTTCTGCTGCTGAAAAGCCCAAACCAAAAACAGGGCTTGCCAAGTGGCAGGGGCTAAATAAAAGAACTAACAACCCTGCTCCCCCCAAAATAGGCCTTTGGGAGACAGCAGGATCCTGGGTATGACCTGGAAAGAACACGGGGGAGGAGAGAGGAGAACAGTGGATGAGAGACGTACACATTTTGAGCTCTGTCTCCACTTCCTGCTGCCGCCGCTCAATCTTCTCCCGTCTCTGTCATGAGAAAGGGGAGGTGAGTAAGTAAATGCAGATGGAAGTGCCCTAGTGTCAAGGACCATGTGGAGAAAGTGGCGAACGGAGGGTCAGGAAGCAAAAATGACATACTTTCCTCTCCATGCGTTCCTCTCGGGTCTCTGCACGAGTTGGAGGAGGGGCATCTCGAGGGTCCTAGGAACAAGAAGAGAGGTGACAGGGTGGGAGGGACTAGGGGAAATGGCAAGGGACGCTCACCAAGGAAATAAGCATGTCAACCCTCCCACAGCCCCCTACAAAAATAAACACACATGTACACTTCCCCAGTCACAGTGGAGGGAGGGGAGGGGCACAGATCAAAGCACGGTCTGCAGCCACACACAGTGGCTTCCACTTGTAATCCCAGCACTTTGGGGGGATGACACAGGAAGAATGCTTGAGCCCAGGGGTTTCAGACCAGCCTGGGACACACAGTGAAACACCATCTCTACTAAAAATTTACAAACGAGCCAGGTGTGGTGGCACACGTCTATAGTCCCAGCTACTAGGGAGGCTAAGGAGGAGGATCTCTTGGGCACTGGAGAGCGAGGCGGCCATGAACCATGACGGTGACACTGCACTCCAGCCTGGATGACAGAATAAGACCCTATCTCAAAAACTAAGCACAGTCCATGGACAAGGACTATCCAGACTTGCTGGACTGTGAGAAGTACAGAAACCGGGAGTAAGTGCTCAGAAACTTCCACAGCAATTTCACAGTTTTACGCCCACTGACTCTAACACAAATTTGGTCTTTTATTCTGCAGGTCTTCTATTTTTTGATGTAAAGTCTCGCTCTGTGACCCAGGCTGGAGTGCAATGGGCGACCTTGGCAACCTCCGCCTCCCAGGTTCAAGCGATTCTATGTCCTGCTTTCCCCTCTTGTGCTGTCACTACAAGGAACCCACTAGCAATCGTGTTTCTAAAAGGAACCCAGGAACTGACTAGAATCGTTCAAGTGATTCTCCTGCCTCAGCCTCCTGAGTACGTGGGATTACAGGTAAATGACACTAAGCTGGCTAATTTTTGTATTTTCAGTAGAGAGGGGGTTTCGCCATATTGGCCAGGTTGGTCTAGAACTCCTGACTGTAGGTCTTTCTTTAAAAAGTAATTCTGGCCGGGCGTGGTGGCTCACACCTGTAATCCAAGCACTTTGGAGGCCAAGGCAGGCGGATCACCTGAGGTTGGGAGTTCAAGACCAGCCTGACCAACATGGTGAAACCCTGTCTTTTTTGAAGTTTTTTTTTT